TGTTATCCTTTGTTTGTTGTTGTTCTTGTTTTGAGTTTGCCTATTATCCCTGTTTCAGTTTATTCTGCCTCTTTGACTTCTTTCCGGCTGGATGTTGTTCCTTTGGACTATGTAACCTAAAAAGCAATCATTAAATGTACAATACGTTTCAATTTCACCCATCTGTGTCAGAGTCTGCATTTCATGACAGTTTAGCCAACCCTCCTCAAAACAGATTAATATAACAAAAAAGGGACATAGCCTCTGTTTTGGTGCGTGGCGTGCTGTTTTAAAGGCTCCAGTTTTGTTTTTCAGCTGTCACCATTTTCAGACCTGTGACTCCTTTCAGCTCTTGCTAACAAACATGCACTTTGGATGACAACTAGACAAATATAACTGCACAAGTGGTTGATTTTCTTTTTCAATCTCTATATACAACCATTGCTTTGTGAAAGTATTCTGGATGCTCTCAAATACAACAAGTGAACCAGGCAGAGGCCAGAGACCCAGAGGCATTACTTATACTCCAGATGCCCTAGAAATACCTCGGTTCACTCTGATTAGAGATGGAGGATGTAGTAGGGAAGATAGATCCCTCAATAAATGTTTTGTGCCATCACTGCCCAGATCTGGATAAGTGGTAGAAAATAGATGGACGACTGCTGTTGATCAGCTGGTGTTTCTGCTTATCACATACCTCCAGTCATTTTCCATTGTGAGTCATGAGTTTCAAGAATGTGAACCCTTGCGTAACCTTAAAAACAGCAGCTCCACAATGTAGGAGCTGAATCTACAAAGGTTGTCGCTTTCAAACAAGATTCACACAAAGCAGTGCTATTCTAATGATTAACCTCTTCTGTCCAACAGCAGTGAGCTCAAGTGTGTATTTTTGTAGAGTTTCATCTCAGGTTGGACTCCCCGCTGACAGCTATGAATAGGTTCCTAGTATTTGTTTCACATCACTGCAAAAGAACATCAAACACCTGAGTTTCTCAGTATCAGGTTTCTGAAGACAAATTAAATCTAACACATTATTGACCTCAGGGAGAGTTATCTTTGTTCGACTGTATAGCAGTTGATATCTTTAGAATGGTTAACCTCTGCACATGAAAATGTTTGTTCAAGTGATACCGAGTGAGAGTGAGCTTAACAGGGAAAGGGGAGCACAAAGAAATACTTATTCTCATTTACAATGTCTCGCTTTTAATAAATAATTATCTGAATCTTAAGTTTTTATCTGTTGTAAAATGCATAGAAATCATACATATACCAACAAGACAGTGCACATCACTGTCACAACAGCGATTGTTTTCATTCGAAGGCTTTATGGCTTTCCCTATAATACCTGGTGGGCCGGTCTCTAGTCAAAGTGCCTAGGCCCATTTTTTTGTCCCAGTCCAGCCCTGGGCACGACACACAGTGAATTAATCTGAGAAGGTGCATTAAAAAATAAATGGCCGGGCCAGCGGTGCACATCGCAAATTAGCTGACATACACACATTAGTTGTGCTGCTTCTTAATGACGGTATCTTAGCTAACAACCCCAACTACCAGATTCAACTTGTAATTGGCTAAAAATAACTTAGCCTACCGGTGAGAGGGACGTTGCTAGCTGGCAGTTTTTGCAAGCGATGTTGAAATTTCCACATTCCAACTCTTCAAATGCTTCAGGAGCTCAGTGCAGCATCAGCACCGTGGAAATACACAGATACATCCGTAGACTCGAGACAGAATTCACAATGTGTTTTCAGGACTTTCAGGCGTATGGACCAATGTTTATTTTTCTGATCAAACCAGAAAGCTTTAATGAGCAGCTGGATTTGTCTCGCATTAACTGGCTGAGTTAATGCAAGTTAATGCGACATCACCTGGGGGACAGGGATAGCTCAGTAGGTAGAGTGGTGGCCCCATGATCGGAAGGTCGGGGGTTCGAGTCCCCTGAACAGCTACCCTGAGGTACCCCTGAGCAAGGTACCGTCCCTACACACTGCTCCCCGGGCGCCCGATGGCTGCCCACTGAGTGAATGGGTTAAATGCAGAGAGGAATTTCCCCACGGGGATCAATAAAGTACACTTTCTTTCTTTCAAAATGCAGCTGATTGATGTGAAAGTCTGTGGGGGTCAAAGTTTGCAGAACTGTGAATGCAGCTGGAATCCATAGTTGTGCGTGTTCATGGAGCTTGCATTTTCACCTGCTGGACATCACTACCTGACAAGTTTAACTGTTTTCAGAACATTGCTGTATAGCATACAATTAAACAAAATTTGCTAAAGACCCTGACTGATGCCAAGATGGTTAATGAAGGCAGAAATGGATCACTCCCTTGTGCAGCGCAAACAACAAAGACCTAGTGCTTCAGCTGATTCACCACCTAAAGAAAACAATAACAAGGAAATATTTAATAGTCAGTACTGTGAAAGCAACCTGTCTTATAGGTTTAGACAGACTGGAGATTTTATGAGCTCGCAGCTTGAGAGTACCATCTGTTGAGAGAAGCTTTCTTATCCTAACATGGTAACACCAGCTAAAAAGGCAAAAAAAAAGGCACTGCTATTGCTCACTGGGGTAAGCAGGTGATTGCTGGGTTTGAATCTACCCCAAAGCCAAATTCTCTGTCTCCAAGCATTCATTACGTCTCCCACATTGAAAAAAAAAACAAACAAAAAACATACAACTGTTACAGACGTTTCCTCTCCCCAAGGAATATAAAATATAAAAAAATATAAAACATAAATCTGAATTGGGGTAGAAAATTGGTTTTATTGTTTTAAAAAAGAAAAAGTCAACGGTAATTTGAACCCTCAAAGTTGGCTAGCTTGGTGGGTTCAAAATGGTAATCCAATGGTGTGGTCCTATTGGTTACATCTACACAGAAGGCGATGTAAATTTGGCGACAAGTATTTGATGCGACTGCTGATGAGAGAGCACGATACCGGTGACTCACAGATAACCTGCCAGCAAATACATTAGAGGGTTACCTGGGTAGCCACAGGCTGGAATGTCCAATAGAGACTAACCATCACCTTCAAAGTGATACATATGAGTGAATCCCTCATTATCATCCTTGTGTTGATGCAGCTTCATAGTTAAAGTTCTAGCATCCTGGCATGCAAACATGTCTGCACTGGCAACATATTGATGTTTGCAACATTTGGAATAGTTCTTTTTTTAATAATATGAACCATTTTAGTTTTCTACTTTAGCATGTTAGCATTTGTGCTAGCAAGTAACAAATACAAAGAAAATATACAGAATGTTATTAGATTTGAATAAACTAGCTTGCTGTGTCTGTAAATATTAAGTATAAAACAATGGCAAAATAAAATTACACTTCCTCCTGGCATCAGAAAATGGAAAAAGGATTAAATTACATAATCTTAAAGATTTTAATGAACTGCTCCAAATTTTACTCTCGCTGGCAGTGTAGCTTTGTGAAAATATCATATCTTTCATCCCTTAAAACAGAGTGAAATGCATCAGTTAGATGGACTACCATAAGACAGGGTATATTAAGGCACATGGAATTTTAATGAGTACTTCACACAGTGTAGCTTGTTGGTTGTCAGTATTGACAGGTCAGCTGGTATAATTATGGTATAATACTTCACTAAAGCCTCAAATACTGTAGTAAATATGTGGCAAAACCATCAGATAGATCACATTAGGTCACCATGAATTATATCTGCAGATAGTCACTTAAACACAAATTTTTTGAAAGTGCGGTTAGAGGCCAAACAAATCTTCAGAGGTTTTCAGCTACCTTATCAAATACATTTAAATGGAAAACAATATTAAATGGAAACTGTCACCACAAGGTTGTAGCATTTTACCAAAAACATTAAGTGTAGTTGTCCACCCCAACCGGGATTACATACTTCTACGTACTTTTAAAATTATTTACTTCCTAACAGACGATTTCTACCTAACCTAATGCTTCTAAACTGCATCATCTCTGGTCTTGTACCTACAGGCTAAACAGTAACACAAATTAGGTACAAATTCTGGACTCGATGTGGTTCCAGTTCATATTACATGAGAATACAGCCTGACAATGTTTTAACTTTAGCTGACATCTCTGCGATGCGATACATCAGGGTTTAAGCAACCTTTAAAGATTGGGTCATGTCAGGGAAAAATTTGCATTAATCATACTTAAAAAAAAAAAAAAGATGGATTCATCTGTGTCAGAGATATTTCAGAGATTGCATTCCTTGTAGAACACCTGTCCTATCACTGGAGCTTCTGGTGCATTGTTGTTTTTTTTAGCAGCTAGCTTAATGCAGAAATAAATAGCTAAAATGAGATATAGATTTTACTATTTAGTAAAGAGATATGACACCAAAGAGAACATTTCACACATACTGTGTTTCAGGCAGCCTGTGTCATTCACTGATTTAACCTCAGTAATTTTGAAAATGCCCATTGTGATTTGTGAGCATAAAATTGTGCATTCCTACACCGTAGATCTGTCTGAGTTATTTGTTCAGAGCACAATTGAAAGCTTAACTCAAAAGAGCTTTGTCCCCCCACCGAAATGCAGACATTTCTATTTCTAACATTAAAAATCGTCACATTTTGTTCAGTCCCAGGGCTCTGTTATTGTGCATTCAGACACAGCGGGGCACACTTTAACCTGTGCATTTCCTGTTATAAGTCTAAATGTTTGCTGTGAGATGAGGAGTCATTAGGAGCTCTACCATATGACTGCAGCACCTTTCCTTATGAACACGGTTAGATTGATTGTCCTTTGTTTTTTGGTCCTGAAGAAGCTTGGACCAGCTCAGAAGGCTTTAATTAAAAAAATACTCCTATTATTTAACCTTTAACGAATTCCCTGATTACATACACAACAACAACAACACAAGCATATATACTAAACTAGACTGTTTTGTTTTGGTTTTAATTTTTATCTAAAGAAAATAAAGGATTCAAGGTAAAAGAAAAACCATGAACAACCGAAAGGTTCCTTCTGGCTTGACTGACACCTCCCACTTAAACTAGCAAACCAAAAGCTCCGCCTCAGCCTTCTATCTTGTTGAGAACTTGAGGCTATAAAATGAAGGAACTTACTGTAACCAGTTCACAGTCTTTACTTGGAGTTCCGTTTGTGAACTCCTTAACAGAAACTACAGTAAATCTAATGCTTTAATTAGTGAGAACACAGAGCAATAGCGCTGTCGGCTTTTCCTTTGGCGACCTGAAAACCGCGAGCTGAACCATGGCAGGAGACGGGTCAGATCAGCGGGCGCTGCAGTATGAACAAACTCTTGTAAGTCTGCGCTTGTCACCACTCTGAACTTTGTTCCCTTGTTCGACAGTGCGTCCACTTCTCTTGGGTTGGCTGAGAAGCCACCGTGTGCCCTTTTTGCTCGTTAAATTGTTGGAGACAACGACAAAAAGCAACGTGTGAGCCAAGTGTGGCCAAAAGCTGGAATAGAGATGAATGAAGTGTGGGGCAGTATGTACGTGCCGAATTCAACGGTGTGCCTATGTGACTGTGGAAATTTCTTGTGGAGTGTGTATGCGGTAGAAAACACAAGTTTTAAGTATAAATGGTCACTTTTTAAACGAAGTTCAACCTCCGGGTGTTCTCACGTGAATGGTCGAGGTTTGCGGTGTCGGAAGCCTGCTGTGTCCTGCTAATGTGTCCTTAATTCCGTAATTGCAAGTCATGTATTCTTGTGAATGAACATGAGCTAATTCCTAAACTGGTGAACACCACACACTGAATTTCTCCGGCTTGCGGCTTCGCTGTAGCTCTGGAAGTAAAGGTGTTTGTCCGAACATCTGGATTTGGCTCTGTCAACAGGTAGCAGCCGATAACACCCACGCAAGAGTTAAGCCAAACTCCACTGTTAAAAAAATTATCTGGCCCTAAGACTCGTCTGTATTGTCATAATACCATATAAGAAGTTACTTACTTAATTGCAGTTTTAATGTGTAAGTGAGTTTATTAATTCGGCATACAAATTATACCAGTTTGCATCAAACAATACTGCATCCATTTCCAACCGATGAACGCAACCGCACTATTAGATGCTTTATTAGCTAAATGTAAATTTTGCAATGCATATCTGACTGCCAATAAGTAAATGAATCTTGCTGGACAGCTTTTTGTCAAGATTTAAATTGCTACAATGCAAGCGCCATTTGGCAAATAAATTAAATGCCTGTTAGATAGTTTGGGTAAACATGCACATGTCATAGGGATTACTGGTAGTGTCAGGAGCTCTGGATGTGTATACAACCACCAGCATCAGACAATGGATCAATTCATCGTTGATTAGCGGCTTGGGTGCAGAAGCAACCTGCTGTGTGCATGCGTACAGCAGGTTGTGATGCAACTGGCAGCTGTGCAAGTGTCTCGTGCAGCACCCACATCTGGCTCACCATTGTTATCTTAGGCCATCTTCTTTATCTTGCTTTTTTTTTTTATTATTATTACACATTACACAAGCAGTTGTCAGAAGTCATAGAAAGTCTTCATGCAGCTTTGGATGACTGCTTTTAGACCTGATTTAAACAGCAGGGGGCTCCCACACATTTTAATGCCAGAGGGCCTCAAATGAATAGAGATCAGGGCCTGTAGGTTCCCACTCCATAAGAGGACTAAGTGAGGGCTTTTAATTGGTAAATTTGAGCACATCCCTCAGAATGGTTACAGGGCAGGCTTTAAGCTGAGAGTCCCCCTCGTGTGTGTGTGGTTGAACTTTTCCTGACAAAAACAAAACTTTGGTCAAGCCTAAAGAATTGGCTGATTGAAGAGACTCGTCTTATAGGCCAACTGGATCCATTCAGCGGCACTGACGCTTTAAATTAAGAGGAGACACAACTGTAACACTTGTTTGGGCCTCTGTTTCTTTTTTCTTGAAGTTTCTTTGCACAAACACGCACACACAGACACACTCGGCTCTGTCCACCCTGCCTCTGCTAATCTGTCTGTGTGTGTGTGTGTGTGTGTGTGTGTGTGTGTTTGTGTGTGAGATTACACAACTTGCGACCCGCTGATTCAGCGCTGGACGCTCTGTCACCCTGGCAGGGTCTCGTGCCCGTTCCTTCAGCTCTCGGAAAGAAAGAGGGAGGAAGAAAAAACGTGTTCAGACTACTTCCTTTGTTAATCTCGGCTTACTTCACAGCATATAGAAGATTGTTACAGGAACAAAAATTGTGAAATGGAATCAAATAAAAATAGCTCCAGTGTGCGAATAACCTCTTTTATCATAAATGAGTTCTCTCTCTGCCCCCCATCCCCTTGCCGTGGGTTGTAGTAACATGGTGTCTTTGTGCAATATTGGCAGTCGTGGTGGTTGTGTGGGTTTTGTTGTGGGCAGTGGATGCTCAAAGAGGCCAGTGTAGTTTGGCTGTTAGGAAAGCTGAAAGGCTGGCTGTACAGAAACACTGGCAGTAAAGCAGCCTCAACATATTGTTGGCTAACATCAGACTAACACGTCCGTTTGTGCGTGTAGCTGATTTTCGGCTGTTTCTTCAAGAACATAAAGTTACATTTGTGCGTGTTTGAATGGTACACGGTGTGACTCTAGTGTATAAAGTTACGTAAGCATACGCACATCTTTTGTTGCACGAATTATCAGCAAATGACACCTTCAGTCAAGAAGTAATATTTTTGACCTTCATAACTGTCAATTGCAAGGTTAACATTAGCAAATCATTTATGAAATGAGCAAGAGAATAAATAACTGAGCAAATGTTAAAGACTTCTTCTTCCAAGAAGTTGTAACAAAACTGTTTGATGGCAGTTTAAGGGTTTGGTTTTTTTCCAATTTTTTTTTTTTAGCTCAAACGTAAGGTTTTAATAGGTCTTGTACAGTGGTGTGAGCAGCCTATCAGATGTCACAGGCTAATATTTATGACATTTTCCATGGCGACCGCTATCATAAGCAATAAAGTGAAATCCTGTTTGTTGGTGTTGCTCCAATTTATTTGCAAAACTGTGCGAACGTGTAATAATTAACAGAACGATCACACTGGTGCCAAACACGGAGTGCATGCGACACGCGAGCTTCTTGGAGGCGCTAAAACAGTTGGTTTACTCGTCACGAGGAATGCTAATAAAGTTACGGAAAGTGTTGTAATGTCTCCTGCAGCTGTAAAGATTCCAAAAATAACCCTGAACAAAGGACATAATGGAAAGTGTCTCTGTTGCAATCTGGAGTTTAAATTAGAGTTTTTAAAGGGAGTTGGTGGCAACAAGAGATTCCATCACGTTGCATTATGTTAATTGTGAGATGCTAACACGTATGTTATTTATTCATTTTTAAAAAAAATGAACCCCCTGAGACTTAAATATTTTTAACCTTAACCCTACGCTATCAGATATGTAGTCTATTTACTTCTTTTCTGCTTTTCAAGATTGCGAAGTTTTCAAAGAACAATCAGGGGCCAGAAAAAACAGATGAAAAACAGTTCTTCTTCTTCTAAAGAAAAATGTTCCCAATAACACTGCTTTTATCAAAACGTTCCTTTTTTTTTAAATGATTATTATTTTTTTAGTCCAAAAAAAGACACTGTCCACGTAACAATGAGATGTCTACGCATTGGATCATGTATTTTTACTATTAGATGAAAATAATGAAATCAGCAGAGGCTTGGCTTAGAGGCTATGAAAGCTAAGGGTAGCGCTGGCTAAGAGTCCAGAGATGGCTTGACTACAAACTAATATAAAGCAGGAAACTTTAAAGATACATTTTCTGTAGAGTGTCAAAGATGTTGATATTGGAGCGTGACCTATTATAAAATGTTTGACGGGTACACTCCTGCACTGATTCTGGTGAAGTCTGACTGGAAGACGCTGCTTCTCACCCTGATATTCTAGTGTTGAAAAAAGTTTTCAGCATCTCTTAATGTGGAATTTGCAGCACTGAATGGGCAACTTTCCCCACTAAGTGACTGAGTAAATTGTGTAGTGTATAAAGGTGTGGCATTGTTAGACATTAGAGTCCTAACATTGTGGACAGCCAGCTGATCACCACCTTTGCCCTTTTATCTCACTCACTGGCTTTGATGGCTTGCTATTACAGTGTGACATGGTGGAGGCTTACGACCAGCTATTCCAGAACCCGTATCGGTGTGGTTGTTGGGCGTGCATGTTCAGTAATTCAGATATGAGTGATAGGACAACAAGCGAATACAGAGTTAAAGATGGTCACTGATTGCGCTCGTCTATGGTGATGCAGGATGCTACAAAGGCAACGCTGGAACCTTATTTCAGTCAGACTGTTTCATTGGAAGGGAAGTTACGGGCAGGCGTATTTTGTGACAGCAGGTCTTCTGATTGGGAATGTGCTGCCATTATTATACTGACCGAAGGCTTTTTTGAAAACGATGAGGAAGTGAAAGTGTCAGCTAAAGAAGTATGGAGACTTCATAATTTGCGAGTCCATATTTCCCTGTGTTTGTGGGGTGGCTCTGTGGGTTGTGTCCATTTGTCTTGCTGTGACACAGAATCATTTGTAACCTTGTGTCTTTCGCCTCGCTGTGGTAATTTTTTGTTTGAAGCTTGCTTCCCAGCATTCATAGTGGAAATTTCCCTTTACTGGATCTCTCTCTGCTTCATTATGCCTTGTGGGTGAAGTTTTTTCTTCTTCTTCCTTTTTTCTTTTTCTTTTTGCAGACAGGTCAAGAGCTACTTGACCCCCTGCTTTTGACTGTGTGCAGAAAGGGCTGTTTGCGTAACCTAAGCTGGCTCTAACTGCAGATAAGCTTCAAAAGCCTCTAACAAGTTTTCTTTCTGTCACAAGAGATCAAGCATTTAGTTTCTTTTCACTTTCATAAACTGATGTGTCCACCTGTATTTACTCTTTCACAAACAGTTGTGATGGATTTGCCTCTTGGTGTTAAGGGCTCTTGAGGATGGTTTCACAAAAGCAAAATTCTTAAACCTGCTAATGACGAAACCACACATAGTAACGGTGCATTTGGCAATCACTTCACAGGCCGGGACAAATGGTGGCCGGGCTTTTTTAGGTAAAACAAAAGCTGGGATGTGTTTGTGCGACTTACGCTTTGTTCTAAGATGCATTGATCATGCAGGCCTGGTTGTGTTGATTATTAATCACCCAGAGATGGTGGGAGGGAAAGGTTAAGCTCGATAGGCCATTAGATTAAAAGGATGAGGCAGTTTTTAGTGTTGAGGCGTGTCTCGTGATTAGTGCCACACAATTGTTTTTTTCTTACTCCTCTTGAGTCCTTAACAAATATGGATCAGAGAAGAGATCAAAAACAGATCTTAGGCAAATACGGGAGGTTCAG